GGATTTGTGGGAAACTTGGTGTCAGAATCCTTTATATGCCTTGCTCAATTATATAGTTGTTTATCATTTGTTTATATCATTGTATATATCAACAATGGCAAATATAAAATAAATTCTGTATTTTTTTTTAAAAAAAAAAAGAACAAACAAATCTGTCTTGAAGAAAATACAACCAACGTGCAACTGCCTCCGGTACTTTGGGCATATTGTCCGGAGCCAGCCCTTGGAAGAAAGCCATCATGCTGGGAAAGGCAGAGTGGAGGGTCCGTGAAAGAGAGGGAGGCTTGCTCTCTGACGCACATGAACAGACAATGTGACCGTAATCATGGGTGGAGCATGGGGGGGGGGGACATCACGAGTTAGGGCAGAGTTCCAGTGTGTTATTCATAGCAGTTGCGGGCAACCCAGTACCACTTAACATCATAATCTCTTGCCATTGAGATTATACACGGCTGAGTTTATGCCAAGTCGACAATTTCTGCTTGTACAATTTGGTTAAACGGATCACATTCCTCAAGCCTTGTGACTATTTTATTCTCTTTTTAGGACTTGTTCCTCCTTGGTTAACGTAATTGTAATGTTGTCGTTGTTGTTATGTGCCGTCAAGTCACTTGCGACTCAGCGACCCTATGTACAACAGCCCTAAACTCTGCTCTGTCCTGTGCCAATTGCACCATCTCTGACATACCCATCCCGATTACCCAATAATTGTGATAGAGTTTTGCTATGTCCCCCCGCCTCTCTATATATATACTGAAAGGGGAATTCAGGTGTAGAAGAGAATTTTCACCTTCTGTACAGAAGCTTTGGCTTTAATTACTAGCTCATTAATGGACTTGATGTGCAGTCACCATCCATGTTTCAGCAAAGGCTCCTGTGTTGCGATGATGTTGAAAACATTTCAATGGAACTTCCAGATTAATACACATACTAGGAAGAAAGACCTGGAAAATGCTTCTAAAAACTAACCAGTAAAAATCCTATAAATTACATAGTGTGATCCACAACCCATCATGTCAATGGCACAGGGACCAGGCAACTTGAGTTTCCACGGGGCAGAGAGTCACCAAACGTGGGGACTAAACCAGTAGGTATCACAACAACATGAGCTCTGGTGGCCTAGTGGTATGAAACTACACTACAATTCCGTAGACATGCAGTTCCAGTCTACCAGCTGCTCCACAGGAGAAGAATGGGCAATCTCCTCCAACGTGATTACTCCCTCTGAAAACCCGCTGGAGGGTCCACTTGGGGTCAGTTCCTATTTGATGGTGCTCATAACAATAGTTAGTGCTCCACCTTCTGGATACAATAAAAAAAAGCATTTTACAACTTCAAGGATCAGTCTATGGCATATGAATGATATCTCAGTTTTCTGAAGTGGCTTTAGAACTATTTTGGACACAGCTGTTTGATCAAAGTTGACATAATGGTCAAGGAGCAAGGTTCTGACCTGGAAGTTTCCTAGGAATAATGTCACGCAATCTGATCTCCTGGTTTCTTAGCACGTAAAGAACCCCTGACCTCATTGACACTGGCTTAGAGGTCTGAGGTTAGCTCTGGAAATGGAACTAAGGTAACCCTGAGTCCCTGTGACCCTCTCTGTGTCACAGGCAGAGACTAAGAGAGGTGGAACACAACTACCTGGAGGAATCAGAGAGTGCAGGTTCCCAGGCAGGGGAGAGAGGCATTCCCTCTCCTTGACATGCAGCTTAGTTTGGGTAATGGAGGCCGAGGACAGTCACAGGCCAGGCTGAGGAGTCTGGATTTAGAAAGGTCAGTGGACATGCACCTCTGCTGCTTTTCCCTGAAGTGCTGTTCCATGCTGTGTACCAAACCAGACCGTACACTCACTCACACTCACATGCATTCAAGCACACCCGCCTGCAAACATGTTCACACAGATTCTAAAATAAACAACACTAACGGTCTTCCCAACGCAGTCCTCTTACCATGGAGTTGCAGCCAACTCATAGCTGACCCTGCAGCAGTTTTCAAAGGCTGTAAATGGCACAGGAGAAGATTTTCCAGCTTTCTCCTGCAAAACAGCTTTTCCATTTGAACTGCATGCCTTTGGGTTTGGAGTGAAACGCTCTACCCACTAGGCCACCAGAGCCTCCTTTGCCCGATGTTCTTATTTGGCATCAAATATCTTACAAAATATACTCCTGTAGCCTTATTTAAGAAAACTATACATTCTCAGAGGGGAAAGGTAATGCAAGGAAATCCGCTTACATATGCTCATCCAAGGATTTTAAGTATTACTCTAGAAATTATTCCCAGGATATTTTTAGAAATTAATGCTTTTAATGTCCAGAAGTACATAGAAATTTATTATTGAATTAGCTCTAGTTATTTCAGCTTTCTGAATTATGGACCAAAGCACAAGTATAATCCCAGGTTCGGTTGCCAATGAAATCCTTTTATACAGAATGATGAAGTAATTATTAGTATTCCTACCTTTCCATCACCTCATCAATGAGATGAGCAGACAACATCAATGGGAATGCAAATTAGTTAAAATTTCATTTGCATAGAGGACATTAAGATAGTATGTGCATGGAGAGTTTTCCCCAGGCTGGGTGGTAAAGACTGAGAAATTCTGGTTTTACTCACAGAATGGAGATGAGATGCCTCAGGAGACGCAGCAATTCATGTTTGAAGCCTTACTTTCTGAGGGAAGCCCCGAGATGGATAGCCAGGGCGCTGGGGAGGCTGGCTGTTGGTAATACCCTGATCTGGGCTAGGTAGGCATGTTGAGAGCCTTGTTTAGGTGTGAAAAAACAAAACTTTAAAGTCTTTTCCAACTCTGAGAAGGTACCGAGTTCATATTGGTATAGAATTCTGAGATGTCTGAACAAAACAAGCAGTTTGAGATGATGGAACCATTTTTCTTTTCTCCCAGTTGAGTTTCCTTTCGTGGCTTGTGTTACTTTTAGGTTCTTCACATGCTCGTGTTACTAAGGTCTCAGGAATAAGCCTTTTAGTTTTCCTAAATTCTGCTGATGCATTCTTTTCCCTGATAATTTAGGGAATGTTGCTAGAGGCCACTGAGTTGACTACAGTTGACAGTGACCTTACAAACAGCAGATGTGAGCCGTGCCCCGTCTGTCCGGCACCATCCCCACCGTCTCTGATACGCTTAAACCTCTACAGTCCCAGGGCCAATCCTGCTGGCCTAGGACCTTGCTCCAATTAGAAGAAAAGAATTTTCAACAACTTAGTAACTCAACTCTTTTTTTGTTCCGATAAGCATTATAAAAATTCAGCAGAAAAATCTTCCAACAAAAATGTAGGGGAAATGGGTGAATAAATCAAAGAGTATTACTTTTAACCTACTGGTTGAGGAAATATAAACACTGATAAGAGTTGGATTGAAGTATCCTAGTGGCGCGGTGGTTTAAACATTGGGCCACTAGCCGTAATTGAGGGTTCAAAGCCCCCCAGCCACTCTGTAGGAGAAAGATAAGGCAGTCCGCTCTCATAAAGATTTACAACTTCAGAAACCCGGTGGGACAGTTCTCTGTTCAGTGAGTTGGGGTTGATTTGACAGAAGTGGGTAATTGTGTAAAAGTTAAGAGGTGCCTTTCTTCTGCTCCTGGGTAGATAAATTGATGCAGTAGCAAAATTTATAAAACATGTACAATCTTTGACTCAGAAAAAAAGAATTTCCATGCATGTAAGCCAAGAGAGAAATGCAATAAGGTAATTAATTTATTATGACATTGCTTCAAAACCTGAAACAACAGCTGAAATACTTGTTAACAAGCATCTATAAATAGATTCTTATTCTTCCATAGCATCTTGTAAAGAAGTTATTTAAAAATTATCATCAGAGTGCCACTACTGCATAGTCAGAGTGCCTCTGACGTGATGAGGCGTCCTCTAGCCAAATCTAATCCATGGAACATAATTAGAAACAACAAGCACCATGACAAAGACAATCACAGTTTTTACGGCTACCTCTGGAACTGAAAATGACGTTAACTCTTTCTTTACGTGTGTAAAGTGATATGTGCTCTCTATTAAAAAACTAAAGAAGGAAATATGCAAAAAAGGGGGGGAAATGGAATCATTCATGATCTGTTCACCTAGAAATATCCAAAGTTGGTATTTTTCTTTTTCAAATGAACCTGAATTCCAGCCATAAAGCAGGGATGTAGAGAAGTGCTTTCTGATTTGAGTAATTTCTATCTTTCTTTATTTTAGATCATGAAACCAAAATACCGCTCTCTTTCTTACCCGTTTCTGCTTCCGAAATCTCAAACCACAGCCCATGAGTTGAACTATCAAGTGCCTGAGTCTGTACATGCAAAAGTACAGGTAAGTCTAGCTTTTTTTGTAAAGTGCTACTGGGTTGAATGACTCTTATTGAACTCAGTATCCATTCCACTGGTTTCAGATTTTTCAATAAAGACAGCTTTTCTAAAGCCAGTCTGAATAACCTTCTTACAACTTAGTGAAATATTACTTTTCCTATTTAAAATGCATTTGATTTAACCTCCTTTTAGAAATCTCTTCTCTCTCTCTCCCTTTCCCCTGCCTTGCTGTGGAGCTGGAGTCATCTGCTCACTGACCCCTCCAGTGAGATTCCAGAGGTTTAAATCACTTGAGAGAATTTGCCTCTATGAGGCAGTCTACTCCTTTTAGGAGTTACAGCCTCATAAACATGACAGAAGGGAGCCAGGAGTCCGAACTGACTCAACAGCACTGACTTTGACTTCTAAGTTTTAACAGAATAAGGAATTTGCTTACGAGACTCACACATTTTTACAGTATCCAGCCACCTCAGTTTATGGAGTGGGGTCATGAGACTTGTAACCCAGCAATTTCTTTCTTTCTTTTATTAATTGGTTTGCTTACAAAGATCATAAACATTGTGTTTCACACTATTCTTCATTCACACTCTATTTCATACAAACATTCCCGTATTTTATAAAATGAATCACCATTTGACTCTGCCCACCATTACCCTGTCTCTGCAGGTCCCCATCAGATCTCTTCCGTTTCCTTTACCCCTCCTCCACCCACCAAATTGTAAAACTCTGCTGTAGCCCTATTTCCTGACAGGTGGTGCTTGAAATCCTAACCCACTCTTACCTAATTTGCTCCATCATCCAAATCTAGCACAAGCATCTTGGGATCATGTAGGAACAGAATTTAGACGGGCTACCTTTGGATTGGTTTTATTTCAAGGTTAATCGCTGTCAGTATCAAAGCATAGCTGACCTGGAGATTCTGCAGTCTGCTCCTGGCATCACTAATATGAACTTGTACTTCCCCCGTGGATCCTAATGACTGTGATTATAGAAATGAAATGAGTAAAGCAATTCCTTTGTGGCATCCACTTCCTAAACAACATGCCTCTGGAAACTCTTTGAGCTTTGACAAATGCATGTAGTTGTAGAGACTTCATTTCTGTTTATGGGTTTGCTATGAGTCGTGATTGACTTGACGGCAGTCAACAACAACAACATGTGTAAGAAGAAGAAAAACCAATTAGAATCATAGAGATAACAATAACAGATTTAAAAAACCTCAAACTCTTTGCCATCAGGTCAGAACTGATTTCTAGCTGACCCTTCAGCAGGTTTCCAGAGACTGTAAATCATACGTTACTGCTCATCTTCCTCTGAAAGAGCAGCTGGTGGATTTGAACCACCTGCCCTTGGGTTGGCTGGGCAAATTTTTACCCACTGGGTCACCAGATCATCCATTGTTGTTGTTGTTAAGTGCCGTTGAGTCACAGGCGACTCATAGCAACCCTATGAAGGAGAGTCCTCAACACTTGGATGCCTTTCATCCTCTCTCCAGGTTCATAGAGTTTCCAGAAGCAAGCTATTATGGAAGTGGATGCCACTCCTCTTTCCAAGCTTGTTTTAATCGGGGAGCTCCACCCCACTGTCTGTCCACATTGGGTAACCAACCATTAACACATTTGACACATCAGTATCACAGTGTTCAGCCTCACAGCAACCACAAGTGACCGCTGTACAGCAACTTGTACACCAGGGCTATATGACCTAGAGGTATGTCTGAACAAAAACAATGAAAGACAGGGCCAAGGGCTGTGGATTAAAAGTCACCCACCTTTGTCTTGGTAGCACCGCCTTCTATCCACAGGGCTAGCTGATCTCTCTCTCTAAGATTATCCTATATCTAATATTAAAAAGGAAAAGCTACTTGAGGAACAAACTGGTTCATCCTGGAGAGGGTGAAACCAAGCTGTTCCTTGGAGGCAAGGATTCTGAGGCTACATCTGACATACTTGTGATATGTTGCAAGCAGGGACCAGTCCTTGGAAAGGCGCGTCATGCTTGGGAGGGTGGAGGGACGGCACAGGGGAGGAAGACCCTGGATGAGATGGGTGGATGCAGTGACTGGGGTAATGGGGGTGGGTGTGTTAGAGACAATAAGGTTGACTCAGGATAGAGCAGGTTTCTGGGCTGTTGCACACAGGGTCACTATGAGTCACAAGTGTCTCAATGGCACATAACAACAACAACGTGAGGAAAGCACCTGTAGCAAAATACTAAGTCATCCCACACCATGAAAAACCCAATTTAACCGTAGAGGCACAAACTGTACATTGATGAGTATTTTATGAACCTTAGTTGTTGTTACACGCTGTCAAGTTGGAACCTACTCATAGGTGACCCTCCCAAAGATTTTTAGAGGCTGTAAATCTCACAGGAGAAGATTAGACATAATTCATCCAAAGAGCAGCTAGTAAGTTAGAACTGTCCACCTTTGAGTTGTTCCTGACCCAGCTGAATTTTCCATCAAGTGACTTCTCACCTGAGATAATTAAGTTTTCGTTTACTTGGTTCCACAGTCAACACTCTTGGTAACAGCAGCCAGGAAATCAGGAGACGAATTGCATTGGGAAAGTCAGCTGTGAGGGACCTCTCAAGAGTACTGAAGAGCAACAACGTCAGGCTGGAGACTAAGGTGCGCCTGATCCAGGCTATAGTCTTTGCAATTACGTGCTATGTGTTGGAGAGTTGGACAGTGAATAGGGCTGATAGAAAGAGAATTTATACCTTTGAGCTGTGGTGCTAGAGAAGAATGTTGAATATACCATGGACTGCTAGGAGAACAAATAGGTTTGTCCTGGAGAGAGTGAAGCCAGAATGTTCCCTGGGGTCAAGTATTCTGAAGCTTCGTCTGACATATTTTGGGCAGGTTGCAAGGAGGGACTGGTCCTTGGAGAGGGACATCATGTTTGGGAGAGTGGAGGGGGGGCGCCGGAGAGGAAGACCCTCGAGGAGATGGATCGATTCTGTGAGTGGAGCAGTGAGAATAAGTGCATTTGAGACAGCAAGGTTGGCACCGGATAGAACGGCGTTTAGGGCTCTTGTCCATAGGGTCACTATGAGTCGCAAACGACTCGATGGCACATAACAACAACAACATAGAGTAATATGTAGTCTTTTTCATGGAGACTCAACTCATTGTTGTTGATGTGGAAATGACTCATAGCTTACTCTCCTTTGACTTTTCAAGAAGCTGTAAAATGCACTGAAGGAAATTGATTGTCCTTCTCCTGCAAAACACTAGTAGATTTGAACTGCCTAACTTTGAGTTAGGGAGCATGGTGGCTTAGTGGTAAGGAATCGCACTGCCAATGCCAAAGTACATGGTTTGGACCCACCAGCTGCTCCATGGGTGAAAGATGGACAACTAACTCTCAAGTGATTCCCTGCCTCTGAAAACCCATTGGGGTGTCAGCTATGGGTACATCATAGCCCAAAGATATACCACAAACAACCTTTGAGTTAGAAACCTCTCTTTATTGGCTAGATCACCTTTTTTTAGACAGGCTCCTCCTCAATTTAAAAACATTATGTTTCACAAAACCTCAGTCTCTACCAGTGACTAGGAGAGAGTTTTTAGAAATACTGAGATAATGTGAGCTATGGAAGCAGAGGTGGAGTGAGGAAGTGCATCTTTTTGGAGACAAGAAAATCTGAGATGGCCAGAAACTTTAAACACCCACACACAAACAAAAAAGAAAGCAAAAAAAAAAAAACCAAACCACCCAAACCCACTCACTAACCTATCCTGATTTCTTTCTAATTTCTGAAATGTTCTGACCACAAGATTGTTAAACTTTCTAAGCCTTGTTTATTGGCTCAAAACATTCTTTCTTGTTGTAGATGTTATAGTTTTCACGTTATAATAGTGGTTAAGGGGCAAAAGCCAAAATCTAGCCCAGTCTCTGACATTCCAGAAAATCCTGGAAGGCAGAAGGAAATAGGACTCGCGCTGTGTGGTCAACTGTTTCATTGTTAATGAACTCATTCTCATTGTTTTTAAATCTTTCACCTCTTATATATCACATTTCAGTAACTCAGTGCCTGTTGTACACTGTTGACTAAGAGTTGAACAGGATTCTTCATAGGTTTATTTCTGTTTTATTTTTTCTCATAAACCAGTATTTCTAAGAGACCACAAGCTTAGTTCAGTTTGAAGGAATACTATAGAATGTGGTGATTAACAGATTCTAGGGTTAGTGGTTAAAGTCCTGCCACTCCTATGGTAAGCAGCCTCGGAAGGTTGCTTAACTTCCTTATATACAGCTCCCGCTTTTACGAAACAGGAATGGTAATAGTATCTGTTTCACAGGCTGTAGGGCTAGATAGACCAGTACTTATAAAACATTTATACAATGTATACAAATTTTGTAAAGAAGCCAGTATTTAAAAAATTACAAGAGTGCTTTATAAAAACAAATTCCCATGTCTTGGGAAAAGTGCAGCCAGGGTTCTCGTTGGAGACAAGGATGGCAAAGCTGTATCTTACATCCTTTGGGAAGGCTGCTAGGAGAACCTGTTCCTTGGAAAGGGTCATCATGCTTGGAAAGGTGGAGGGTCAGAGAAGGAGAAGAAGACTCCCGTGGAGATAGATGGTGACTGCAGCAATGCTGTTGTTGTTAAGTGCGGTCGGGTCACAGGCGACTCATAGCGACCCTATGAAGGAGAGTCCTCAGCGCTTGGGTGTCTCTCATGGGATCAAGTATATCAGAGATGGTGAGGTTGGCACAGGATAGAACGGATTGCAATCTGTTGTTCAGGGGTTCGCTGTGAATCGACTCAATGGTATTGTAACAACGACAATAACAGCGCTACCATTCCCATTTTGGGTATCTCACTGAGACAGAAGCCTTGTTGCTGGGATGAAGGGCCCTCTGGTGACGTGGTCCACAGCGCGCTGTGCTGCTGTCCCACGCGCTGCTGTCTTCTCTGGCAATTTGACTCCCTCAGCAACTCAGAGGGGGAAAGATGGGTGGTCCCTTCCCTGGGATGTCTAGTTCCAGAAAC